CCGGAGGATTTCAAAAAACTACAACAGATGACAGACAAAATGTGAAAAAGGATATGGGAGTTAATCCAAAAAAGCACAAGAAGCTGAAAAACTATGGTATCTAGAGATACCCCAAAATCCAAGAATTCTGCAAAAATGAAGATGCCTCTAGGATGACGGATCTCAGTGTCCCGAAAAGAAATGAGGATAAAATATTAAATCTGACTTCCGTCCCTCTTGACCTGGAAACCACAAAGATCATCCAAAAGAGACTAAATTGTCCATATTGGAATAAAAGGAAGACAACTAAGAACATTTTAGTGGAGGTGATAAAAACCTCTGATAAGGTAACTTAACAATAAAAAAGAGAGCTGGAAACGAAAATCATACCAATAATCATGGCGCACCAGGAACCCATGGATGTAAATAATATAACCAAGATTTCTAGAGAATTAATAAGAAACAATCAAATGTTCTTTTAAAGCTGGCAAAGTTAGTTACACAGTGGTCATAGGCTGGAAGGAATGTACAGAGAAAATGGAAAATATTCTCGACTGTTAGCAAGACTCAACAGTTAAAATCAAAGCGCAACTGCAAGAAATAGTTAAGGAAATGAATATGAACGGGCAAATCGACAAATGGACAGCGAATTAATTCATACAAAAGAATGCAAGAGCTTAGGTAGCATAGCGTTTGTCGAAGATACACAACGGAGAAACATTGAGACTGATATTCAACAATAAACACGGACTAACACAAATTTGCGAAAGTTATCTGCCTCAAATTAAAGAAAGTGAATGACCGATTATCGAATAGATTAACAGTACAGTAGAAAAAGCACTCAAGGCACTACTGGAGATGTTGGAAGAAGATGATATCCTGGAGACGGAACGAATCAGTAAAGGGCCTATAACCCGATTAATCAAGGTAACAATAAGAATTACCTATATCACGTTCAATGGCCACAGCAATGAGCAAATATTTGGTCTACCTATAGGCTCAACTCTCTCACTTCCGCTGCCTTCTGCTGCCAAATTGGAGGATAATTTCAAAATGTCACCTCAGCAGCCAACAGTAATTATCCGATAGTTTGATATCTACATTGCAGCTTGGTCGCATGGAAGCGAAAAATTAGACGATTTCCTGATCTTTATCAACGAAATGGATGAAAAGGTTAAATTTATCATGGATGCGGAAGAGAAACGACACTAACCTTTCTTGGATGTAGAGGTCATTCGCTCCAATGAAACTCTAAAGCAAAGATTTTTCCGAAAAAAATCGCATGCTGGAATAAAGATAGGAATACTCCGAAGTAGGGTCATAGGAAGCTAAGACTAACTGATTCTGAGTTCTGTGAAGAAGAACTGGAAAAACTAACTCAAACGTTTCTTAGAAACGAATCTTCAGAATAGGCAATACAACACCGCATACGGATAGTAATGAACAGATGGAAGGACGAAGATTATAAAAGTAAAGCTAGAGGAGCAGAGGAAAAGCTATGGAAATGTCTACCCTCTTGCGAATCGACTCGGAAGCTGCGGTCGATACTAGGGAAATGGAACATTCGCATAATCCTGAAGGAACGGATAACCCTCTTCACCAGCTTGCCTAACCAACATAAAGAAGTCAACAAAATGGAGTGCTCCGGAGTTCACAGCAGAAACTGCAATAACTGTAATCAAAAATGCATCGGAGAGACGGGAAGGACAATCAGCACAAGGATAAAGAACACCAGCGTCTATGCGGGAAAATGGATACGGAAAGATCGCCCTTACTGGCCACACAATTAACTGGGACGCAACGAAAAGACTGGGCTCATATGAGGAAAACATCAGGAAACTGAAGATCAGGAAGGCTGTGACATCCTTTTCCATAGAAACCTGATGAACAGGAGATTAGAAGTGGATTGACCTCGTTGTCGCAACTATGTAGAACGCACCTAGTCTGAAGTCGTCTGCCAAAGTAGTTGTCATGATTCCCAGCATCAGACAATGGACTTGATACATTCTCAAACGTTCCGCCGCCATCGAAGTCTGCATCATCAGTGAGCTTTGCCATTCTCCGCACTAAGATACCAACTAGTCAAAGAGACAAAGAGATTAAAAGATGGAGGAGTCTACGAAAATTTCACGTACTGCCTGGGCAGACTTAGAGATTCAGCGAAGACAGCAAAAAGAAGACCCTTGGACATAATACACAAGAACTCAAACAATGGGACACAATGTGTGTGGTGGTGAAAAACACGATAACTAATTGACGTGTTTGAAGAAGTGGATAGGAAGATTCTCATGTACTGGCATGGGCTCTTAATTCTCGAATATGGCGAGGACGGGAATTGAAGGCTAATAGGCAGCCAGATTTCAGACAGGCAAACAGTGATTTTGATATTTAGCAGCAGCCAATTGGCAAGCGGGTAGGAAAACAAGGGTGGCAAAATGTAAGCTAGGAATCCTGCAAACGGCATCTGGTACCGGTTGATACGATTACGATTCACTAAACCCACTTTTCGCGACACTCTTAGGCGACATTGGAGGAAACGAGAGCACAGAATTGTGTAAATAAGTGGATGGGCCATATGAAGTTGGGTTGAGAGTAAGAGAAGCGGCACTGGAAGATAGAACAAAAAATAGGAGCGAAGGGTGATGCCACAACGATTTAACAGAAAATTGGTCAAATAAATTGCCTTCACTTGCCACCTTGGTAAGTTGTAACTCTTTGTTTACAATGTCGCCTGTCAATGATGATGCCGATTACAATGCCGGCGAAACGTTTTGGAATGTAATCAGCCAATGGTCCGATGCTGGAAATCACGAATACTATTGCAGAGGACACGCGACTAACTCTCCCTGAAGCTCCCCCTGACTTGCGAAAATGTGGTCGAACCAACAAAACACATCTAAAGAAGACTGCGACCAAGGATAAGACCATACCATCTTGGTCTTCCTCTCTACATTCACAAGATTATTGCTTTTCCCTTCACGAAATTAAAGAACTACTGGTGATAATTTTCCGATATAAGAACTCAATTTATTTATCTATTAGAAATGAAGATCTTACACAGCTGTACATTCTCAGGGTCCAGGGCGTTATAACTTCGTCGAACAGCGCAGCTCCCTCTGTTTGGTCCGTCAACAGAGCCTGGTTTATTGCTAAGAACAGCGACCACCTCGTAACCACTGTTAAATGGAACTGGCAATTTCCTGTTCTTTGGCTGGCCAGGAGAAAGAACGGATTCAATCCCTGAAGAATTGACGACGGACCGAGGACGACTGATATTAGGAAATTGATGATGTCGATAAAGCAATGTCAGTAGAGGGTCATCATTTTCACACGCCAAATCCGAGTGTGCTGTAGTGACATGAGCCAAATCCCCGAGGGAACGGGATGCCAAGGCGCGAGCAGCAGCAGAGGCCATTAGGGCCCTATAGTCAGAAGAAACAGTGTTTAGAGAATGGATAATTAGCCAAAGCTTTATACACGATTTCTGGTGGTGCATCCAAAACTAATGAATCAGGTAATTAAGGGTTTATTCTCGAAATTCATAAATGAGACCATCCCACCTGATCAAAGGTAATATGCATTAGGGATGAGAATACTATGAAGGTAAAAGCGACGGTTTTGAGGATCTAGAAAACGTTGCATGCTCTAGTGTTGTCTTTTTCTTATGTCACATTAGCCATAGTGAGTTCGGATTTAGGCAATATATGCAGTGAAACCTTAGTCTTTGCCGTCTGAATGTGTGTTTTCCTCGAGAAAGATTGGATACACCTATGAATCTATATTGCACTTGGGTTGGTAGAATCAGTAAGAGCTATAAAAAGCATATCTTGTAACGACATAGTTGAATGGAAATGGAATACTCTTCCTAGCTCTATGTCGTTGATTTTTTCTTAGTCTGCAAGTAAGTAGCCCATTCAAGACAATAAGACTACTATAGATTAATTGTTATCTTATGAAAGTTGTTGAAAGCCCAAAGAAAACCTAGTAGTGGGAAAAAGTTAGGAGAATGCAACAAGTGGAGAAGTCGGTCAGTCAGATATTAGCCTAAATCTAATATTTAAAGTTAATCTAAGTGAATCATGCTAAGACCACAAGAAAAAATTTATATAAAGACTAATAAAACTAAAAAGGTAAGAAACGAGTGTCCTAAATTAGATTGACCTTATTCCAGCAGTTTTGCATTATTTCCGAAGGCCTCAA